CGAAATTTCTTCCTGAGCTGTTGATTCGCAAAGACATGCACACTCCGAAGCCCGCCCTGACTCCCGAAACCCACTACAACCATACAATCCTGAGCCCTACCATCCCAACTAAATCCCGAGACCCCCCCCCCCCCCCCCCCNNCCCCCTCCCCCCCCCAAAAAAAAAAGAAATGGTAAGAAAGCTCTCAGCGACGCTGGCTTCGCCTGGGAAGGCTCGGCTCTTTGGCCTGGGCGCTGGGAAGCTTAGCTCCTTTAAGCCCTCTGAGAACATTCGTCAGCTTCCTCTGGGCGTCTCTACCCTTAGACTTTAGACCTTTAGGAGCTGGGGCCTTTGGGGGCGGGCAAAAAACTTAGGGGTGGGCAACCCGGAGGTCCTTCGTCCGGTCATTTCCAGAGAGGGCTCAGGGCAACAAAATGGCGAACCACGAGAAGCCGCGAAGGCGACCTCACTCCGCTTCCGAAGGCTGCAGAGCTTTGAACCCGCAGTCTGTATCTTCAACCCAACCATAAATGCCTACTACAATGACTACAAAGCCCCGAGGCCCTCCCTCGAATCGGCCTGCGGTGTCGCCGCCCTTTCGGGGTGCAGCCTTCGTGGCCTGGAGCGTTGCTTGCAGTTAGGGTTCGGGGCTTTGGTAGCGATGTGCGCTGCAGCGGCAGGCGGAAGGAAAGCTGCCAAAGCTTCGAGCTGCATGGCTCTTCTGACTAGAAGCCGTCCTGCGTCCGCTTGCAGAACACCTCCGCCTTCACCCCAACAGAGCCTACCAGCAAAGGCCTCCGGCACGCCCTCCTCTCCCGCGTCGATTTGTGCCATGGCCTCAGAACTCAGAACCACGCTCAATGTTACGTCTCTGTTTCAAGATTTCGGACATGCTGCCCCGAACATGGCTGGCGAAACGTCGGACCGTTAATTCAATCAGCCCTGAACAAACCAAAGATTTCAAGCTCCTATGGCTGCGACTATGCACGAAAGGTGTCATGACTACAACAACAAGATAGCGAAATTCTTGTTGTCATTCCAACTGCCCATTTCGATCAGCCACCGTCTCTGTGCTTTCCGTCTTCTGCAGTTTGCGGAGGCCCCGACAGCAGCCCACTTCTCCTCGAAGGAGGCGCGCCAGTCGCCATTTTCGAGCACATCCTATGAGCAGGCGGTGGGCTCATGGGCTCGCGCTGAATTACGCTTCATGGTTGGAGCTCGCAAATCCGAAGACCTTCAAACCCTGCTGTTAGAGCGCCTCGTCTTCATCGACGGCCTCATCTCTGTCGGTGCTGGCCGGAGCAGCCTGCAGTGAGACCATACCACGAACCGAAGGCGCACGTCATATGTTCGTGCATCCATCCAACCACCCCTCCATGCATCCACGCATCCGTGCAACAATGAACCCATGCAGTACTACCGGTATACCTGCGTAACCAACCAACAAACCGGGTAAGTAACCAACCGACCAACCCACGAACCCACCAACCCACCAACCCACCAATCCACCAATCCAGCAACCAACCAACCAACCAACCAACCAACCAACCAACCAACCAACCAACCAACCAACCAACCCACCGACAAACCGACCGACCAACCGACCAAAAAAAAAAAATGCGTGGGACTTCAAGCGAGTCTTTCAACGTCGCGCTCACATGGAACGATGTCTCAAGTCGCAAATCCAGTGACTTTGTGCGAAGCGCTTGGAGCTCGAGGCCGAACTCGACAAGTTACAGAAAGAGAGGCCCCCAAACCCCCCCCAACCCCATTCCCAAGAACCCCAAAATCCGGAACCCTAGACACCCCTTCCTTGGAAAAAGGAAGGAAGCGTGAGCCCCCAAACCCAACCCCCCCCCCCCCCCCCCCCCCC